TTTTGAATTATTTAAAATTTATTTATGAGATAAATATATAAAAGGGTAAACTTCTTGTCACTTAATATTATGAAAAAAAGATAAATGTTTACATAGTATAAATTGACTTTTTAAAAATGCTAAACAACTGCAAGTCCAATTCATAGTATTTGTAAAGTAAATATTATTAATTTTTGTTTTTTGTATAGTAATCTATTCTTTTTTAATATTTTTTGCCATAAAGTTTTTTCACGACTATTAAAATATCTATCATATTAGTGCAGATTATGAGAAATCATATGAGTAAAAATAATATAAATTACTAAATCCAGGCGAAGACAGAAAAATTGTGGCAAATAAGCTCATTGGATAACCTTTCAATGCAATTCACAAAACATTGTTGTCCAAAATAAACAAACTTTGTTTGGAATTCCAGATCTTGTCTATAAAATCTAAGTTTCTTTTTAATACTAATTGCACCACATATATGTTCAAACATATTATAAGTCATATAAATACAAAATCTATATATTTGATATATTGATTGTTCTCATATTTCTTGATCTGTTAAAAAAACTTCTATCAGAATTAGATATTAAAAGATGTAAAAGCATATGCTTTTCTACTATATCAATAATTATAGCTCGTTTGTCTTTAGGACAGAAGCAAAAATTTTTTTTTTGAACTTTATTCATTGTAGAATAAAATTCTATATCAATAAATCCAAGAATTTGATTTGCAGAGTATAAACTGTATGTAATAATTTTTGGAAGTATATTATCTGCAAGATATTTTTTTTAAGCTCTTTTAACATGCCACAAGCAAATTTGTATCTTAGCATTTGTCTAAATTTTTCGTGCAGCTAAAATTTGGGTATAATCCTTGTCTATAAAGAAAAATTGAACATTATTTATTTCTAAATTATATAAAGATTCGAAAAATAATGCTAAAATTTCTGTTACAGCACCATCTTTTTTATTTTTTCTTTCAACAAATAGATATGCTATCGCAAAACCAGAACCATCAAATTGGCCAATAACTGAATAAAGTTCATAATCTAATGCATTAGTTTTGTAAGTTGAATCTACAATTATTTTCTTATTTTTCATTAATTTGTCAAAAAAAGGAGTTATAAAATCCAAAAAACCTGATTTTTTTAGTACTACTACAAAGTACAATCCTATAGTCACTTTCAATTAAGAATCTTTTTGCTGAATTTAGTTAATTTTTATTATCACATACATATTCTTGTTTAAGCAAAATTGACTACCATGCATGAACTTGTTTCTACGTCAAATTAGGATGATGATTTTCTAAAATTTGATATATTTTACTTGGACTAAGATGAATATTTTTTTTGATTTCTTCTTTGATTATTTCATTAACTCCAAA